CAAAGTGGTAGCTTGTACTCCTTTTATTATTCAGCTGTGGGGAAAATGGAGGAGTCAATCTTTCAGGTGTCAATCCTTGATAAAAATTGCAAAATATAGATGAAAATCTCATATAAAGGACCAGAAAAAAGTAAGATGGTGGAAAAAATACAGAAACATCAGCATGAGAAAGGAAATAGATCAGCTGTAAAGCTAAATGACTAAAATGCTAACAGAGCAAGGCAGTTGGAGACAATGTATGAGAAACGGTTTACATTTACGAGATTCAGAGAATGTATGAACAACTGAAGAGGTAGAAAATAATGCAAATAAAGGTGGAAGCATGAAATACTGGCAAAGGAGGTGCCAGCTGCCAAGGAGATCAGAAGAAGGAAAACACAAATCAGCTTCAAGTTGGTGTTCCAATAGTTTTGGTTTTGGGGCAACTTGGAAATTACATACCTTGGCTTTTAAAATTCCATGAGTTAGGTCTGGGTTTCTACTAGAATTGATTTACATTAAAACAATGTAAAAGCTACCATTAACCAATGTAATCAGGTAGTGTAACAAGATGTAATTTCCAATCTTTCTTTTCTCCCCTCTCTCCCTCTGTCCCTTCATTGTTCCTTTCCTCCCTCCTATTCCTCCTTACATCTTTTATTCTGTCCCTCACCAATTTAATTACTTTTGCTGAAAATTAGTACACTGTGAAAAATACATACTTTAACACATTGTCTATCTATGAGTAATCTGAATTTAAACAACTGAACATGAATTAAAATCCTAAACTATTTACTATTTTCATTGATATATATGTCCTGTTTTCTTATTAAATCAAATATATTTGATATAACAATCTTTAATTAATGCCTACTGGTGTACGAGAGAAGATTAGAACTATTCCTAACCAGTGCATTTGGCAGAGATGTGCAATTTTGAAGGAAAAATAATAAAAATTGCAAACGACACATACTAGTGTGACTTGTTTTGTATAATTCTGAACATCGGTACAGTATGATCAGAATGCTCAAATTGTATTTATTTTACAGTTTTTCTCTCTTGAGGTCTAGCTAGCTTTGTTCGTGGGCCCTGAGTTGGCCGAACTGGTCTTTAACTAATGTAAAAGTCTGCAGAAACGTGATATGATCTGCTTTGACTATAACTCTCTCACATTTAAAATACACCGAATCTCCACTCCAGGATCACCAGCTCCTCCAACCACCATAGAAACAGACATTTATGATTGTCTTGTTAACACATTTTTGAATTGGTCTCCTATATTTCAGGTTATCAAGGGAAAATACAGTTCTGGTGGTACGTTTATTGACTACAGAATTAGAATTAACAATCGGTCTTTCTGGATTTACAGTTTCTGTATTTCTTACTTTCCTGTGGTCTGTCAAAACCTCTAGCATGATTTAAATTTGAACTGACCAAGACAACTGGGCATTAAGAAGATTAAATAAAAATCGTGTCAAGTGACCATAGACCCAAAATTGGACATTCTAAATTGACACACAGCGTGAGAAATCAGACGGGACAGAAGATTGACCAAACTAAATTGAACAACAACCAGTAGCTATCAACTACAGAGAACAGTGGAAACCAAGCTTAAAAGAAGTCAGAAAGGTTCAGGTGGAACCAGTTACAACCAACCTGAGGTTGTGTATTGGAGCAGTATTGATCAGACTTTCTGGCACCTTGACTTCCAGCCGGTGCCTGAGGACCTGCAAGTTACACCTCCCCAGCATAGCAACAGTGAAGGGTGACAACATGACTCCACTAGATTGTTTGAACCCTGTTCACGACTCCATTGACCAAAGACCACAGAACATTCTAAAGGTCTGTGGCAAGGGGGATAAAAACATACACTTGTAAAAATTTGCAGCAATACTCATGCCAGTAGATGGTGCAGAAACCCAAGAAGATCCAGGAGTAGATCCACCTTGACCTGCCAGACTCACCGTCATGGAAAAGAGCCAGCTGTACATAAAAAAGGAAGAATAGTCCAATGGCTGAACTTAAACATGTGGATTGTGGGAGCAATATCCTTTCTCAGACGGATAGATGTAGATAAGGAGTAATTATTGTGGGAATTTGGGAAATGCTCACTTTTTTAAAAATAAAGAATATTTCGTAAATAAAATTGAGTTGAACTGCAAATTGAATTCTGTGTTCCTTTGTCAACCTCACTAACAAGAGTGTTTGCATAAAGTATTTTTAATACCTAAACTGGTCGAAGTGTCCAAAGCATGGACAACAAAAGGTCAGGTGATTTATTTGCTGTATATTAATGAGTATAACTTTATTATTCAATGATGCTGTAACTATAATATCTATTTACCTTTGCAGCTATTTCCATTGCGTGTGAAATGCACCATATCACACTTTGCATTTGTTGGTTGTGTAGAGATTGGGAGTTATGTTTGGCATGCGGGTGTTATCAAAATAATGTATGCAAACCTTTGGGTGAGGAATTCTTATCTGTAAGTACTTTGAACTGCAAGCTGCTTTGTGCTCTTTGCCAATTCTAATTTCACCTATTTTTTTCTCTTCCTCAGTTTGACACTTTATCTTGCACAGTGAACTCCTGGGAGGCTTGGTTCGAAAATTTAAGAGCCATGACCTGAAATTACTCATTAATTTCTTAGCCAGAGATATATTACAACTTCATTGGCTGACTGTACAGGTTGTGCATTCACATCTGTATTATTTTACTTGCACTTCCTCCTGGTGACTCTGTTACCAATGAACAAGTATCCGTTTCAATAAAAAAAACCGTAAATGTCTGAGAAGATGCTAATGCTTTGAATGAAACCATTTTCAAAAAATGGAGAGAATGTATGTAATATGATTGAAAGGGAGTATTTATTTTACAAAATGGTGGGAGAAATCATCAGAGGAACATTCTACTAAACAGAGTTTATCGTTATTAATTGCATAGAATCAACCTGAAAAAAGAAATATGAAGTTTTAGCTAGAATCCATTGAAGAAATACATGCATTTATTTAGCACGTCTCAAAGATACAAGATCTCCAAAGTGCTTCCTCATCAACAAATTAACTCATTTTCATAGGGCAAGGCTCTATATATAGCAATGAAAGAATTTCCTTTGGTGCTGAGTTATATGTTCAATTCTTGGAGTGATAAGGGTGCGATCACTTTAAAAAATTTAAGCTTTAAAATGAAGTTGAAGGCAAGTGTTAAGAAAGAAATAATGTTGTGAAAAAGTGCTTGGATAAATGTAATAGAAGGGCCACTTCTGACAAGGAAAATAAAAATCGCAAAATAGACACATACAGCATCTTCAAAACTGGCACTGCTGGAAGATATGTTACAAGGAGGAGAGCAAATCTTGGAAATTCACTATAAATCAATCAGGATATAATGAAGGAGGGATAGTTCATTAACCTTTCAGGAGGAAATTCTTCTTCAGAGTCTCCTTGACACATATGAAGAATTGCTTTCTTGGAGACTTCTAAAGACCATCATTCCAGATTTAGGCAATACTTAATACACTTGCCATAAAGTGATAAATAAAATTCATTAGTTTTTACTGAAGTGACTCTCCTTAGTCCTCTGGGTTTAAATATTTGATGATTCAACAATATAGTTTTGTAGTGGCATTGTGCTGTTCAATTTGTGGTATTAAATTACTATCGAATATACCATAACAAAATGATACTGTGTGGAAATGTAGTACCATGCTCTGTAAGATATCTATGTGCAATATATTCAAGGGTAAATAGAACATCAGTAGAATAAGATGATCCACTTTTCTAAGGGCAGTGCAGTCAGGAGCAGCAGAGTCAGACTTTGTCCCCAAAACATGGAGAAACTTGCAACTGTCACTATGAAAGCATGGTCAGAGGTAGCTGAGGAGCTGAGCAGCTGAGGCCAGTCTTGGATGTAATATATGAAGTGATTTCATGTCCTAATTTCCCGGTCAGGAAAAGAGTACTTTGGCTAACTTAGCTACATCCTGTAGTCTAAGCCACATGCTACGAGGGATCCAGCTCAGGACTATTAAGATTTAAAGAGAAATCTGACCACCTCATTTTTCATAGAATCGCTACAGTGTGCAAGTGGGCCAGTCGGCCCATCTAGCCCACACCTTCCCTCCAAAGGACATCCTACCTTGACCCACCCTCCTATCTGCAACCCTGCATTTCCCATGGCTAAGCCTGCACATCCCTGGACACTATGGGTAATTTAGCACGGCCAATCCACCTAACCTGCACTGTTTCTTTTTGGACTGTGGGAGGAAGTCAGGGGATCCAGAGGAAATCCATGCAGACATGGGGAGAATGTGCAAACTCCACACAGGCAGTTGCCTGAGGCCGGAATCAAACCTCGGTCCCTGGTGCTTTGAGGCAGCATTTTATCCAATCTAAGCCACAAGCTTTCTCATATTAATCAAAAACAAGTTTCATTGTATAAAAGTAATTAAACAAAACAAGCCATCTTAAGTTATAACTATGTAAGTTATGCAATCAATTGTATAGCTCAATCCGTAAATTCTTTTCCTTAAAAGAAACTTTAATGTTATTTACTTCTGTATGGCCAACTATAAGTATGCCACAGTCCCCTGCACACAACTTTAATTCCTTTCATCTTCAGTTATTTTCAGAAGTAGAATCTTATTTTTCTACTTCTTGACTGTAGATGTCTTTGTCTTTTGATTTGGTTTTTTTTCCCAGTAATTTCAAGCTAACCTACTGGTCGTTTATTTTCACAAACCTGTGTGGGGAGTCACATTCCAAATGCCCCACATCATCAGTGCAAGTTCATAGAGTGGAACCCTTGGTTGAGCTTAGAGGAAGATGGATGTGACAAAGTTCTTAGCATACTGGGGTTGGTCAGTGAATAAACTGCTTCAACCTTTTCCAAACCAACAGACTGAAGTTGAGTGACGCTATGCTGCACTGTTAGAGGCTTAGAACAGGCTGAAAACAAAGGTCTACTGTTATTCTTTTCTGCAGTACTGGGATAAATGTCAGATAATAAAGGTATCAATTACCTTTGTCCTATTTCTTTTCTCAGTCTTTTGCCACAACTTGAACTTGAACCAACTCACAGCTGAATCTTACAAATTCAAAGTGCAGGCAGTCCCTGGGTTCCATTCTGCAGGCCATTCACAAGTCGATTTGTACACAAGTCAGACCACAATGCAAGATAGTGTAAGCTAGCTGTTCGTAAGTACAGGAAATGTTTGCACGTCAGGTCTTTAAAATTACGCCCCTGTCTGGAATCACAATCGTAAGTAAAAACATTAGTAAGTCGAATGTTTGTAAATCGGGGACCCCTGTTTAATGCGTATAATTCCTGTAATTCAAGTATAATTCAAGTGGTTTACTCGAATACATCTCTTATAATCAGGGAGAATTAGGCTCTTTTCCCAATTTACGGTAAAAATGGTTCAGGATGGAAACTCAGTAGGATCTCCAATCCAACAAAAATACCGACTCTGGTCAATGATGTGTCTATTTTCTGCTTTTGCAAGCACTGGATTTTTGAGAGTCTAATTTTTCAACTAGTCACTGTTTTTGCCTTGCTTTTCAGTAGAAAAAGAAATCTTTTGTGTGGGTTACTGTTCTTTATTGCACTTTGGTTGGCTTAGACAACAGTACAGAAAACTGACCTTTTCAATCTTAAATAGGAGACAACAAGGTACAGGGCTGGATGAACACAGCAAGCCAAGCAGCATCATAGGAGCAGAGAGGCTGACGTTTCGGGCCTAGACCCTTCATCAGTTATTAGAACAGCTACTTTAATGTATAATGATTGTGACTGTGCAGGGGACTAACAAGTAAAAGATCAATACATCGCATCTCAAACAGTACCACATACCACAATGCTTGCCAGACACTCCACCTACCATAAAAAGTCACAGCACACAAAGTATTGGAATTCTGTCTCAGATTACTTGACAAACTTGTCATACATTTCAACACCAACCAATGCTCAGCATGTCCCCATTGTAACAAACTCTCCCTTCTACTTGAAGGACAAATGCACATCTCATAGGGGCATTGGTATGTTTTGGGTTATCTCATCATTCAAGCCAGAGGGTGGATGCTGGGCAAAATGAGCTATCTGTTGACCACTTGGCTTGTGACCAAGACACATGACACAACCATTAGGACAGCACGGTGACTGCCTCACAGCACTAGGGACCCAGGTTCAATTCCACCCTCGGGCGACTGTCTGTGTGGAGTTTGCACATTCTCGCCATGTCAGCATGGGTTTCCTCCGGGTGTTCCATTTTCCTCCCACAGTCCAAAAATTTGCAGGCTAGGTGGATTGGGCATGCTAAATTGCCCATAGTGTCCAGGAACGGGCGGCACA